TAAAGCATTTTTCCGACGAGTGGTTCGTCTCAATAAAGTAATTAAATAAAACAAAACGGATTTATATATTGTATCAAATTAATTATGATTTCAATTTATAATAGCAATACGAGTGTCCGTCAAATGGCAAATGTGTGATCAGTATCACGACGAGGACTACGTGTAAACAGTGTCGACTCAATAAATGTTTAGCCGTCGGAATGAAACGGGTATTTCTAATATTAATAATCATACATTTATTATATATTTTTATTTCATAATAAAATTTTTGTAAACTTTTTAAATTGCAAAGGAATTCATACGAAGTGATGAAGAAAACAAAATGAGGCGACAATTGATTGCAGAAAATAAAGCTAAACGACGAGAAAAATACGATAAAAGTGTGAATAGTGTGGACACCCCTCCCGAGTTAACCACAATTTACTCTCAAACTGAAATCAACAGTGAATTCTTAAACGACTTATTTATAGATACAGTCAATACTAGTGATGAGGAGATTAACAAACAGATAACAGATAGTAGTGTAATGCCAGAGACGTGTAGTATCCCAGAAATAGCACCACAAGACTCTCAAGAACTAGCGATCGCACCGGTATTCCCAGTGATCAACGATTATCACTCGTGGAACCAATTGGAGTCAATCCGTGTGAGAGAACTGTTGAGTGCATCCGATGTCACTGAAGACCCGTTGAGTAAACATGACTTAACAGTCCATACATTTAAGCAAAAAATATGTGCGACTGAAACCCGAATGGAGGACTGGATTAAAGATATGATAGGTTTCACCAAAAGNTGAGTAAACATGACTTAACAGTCCATACATTTAAGCAAAAAATATGTGCGACTGAAACCCGAATGGAGGACTGGATTAAAGATATGATAGGTTTCACCAAAAGTCTCAATGGATTCAAGAGGTTCTGTGCCGACGACCAGTGGACTCTGTTCAAGAGTGGATGCATTGAAATGATCATGCTCAGAGAGGCATTGTGCTATAATGACGAGGGTCAGTGTTTTAAAATATATGTGGTAAGAATATTTAAATTAATGAATAAGTCATTAATTTAGTGTTAATTGTTATATGTCATGTTCATACAATAGGGTGATCACAAGTCAGTTGTATATAATTTGGACGTTTATATAAGCCTTCAGAACGTGTCTTATATACAAACTTTAAAGTTGGTCTTGGACAGATTGGTGCCTGAAATCAAGCATGATTCGTTTATTGTTAATTTGGTATTTATCAATTTTTAAATGTCAAACAAATTAATTTACTTATGTTTACAAAACTAGTTGACGGCTATAATACTTTACAACCCTAACCGCCTGAATCTCATACATAAACAAAGTATTAAGTAAGGTTTTGATTAAAAACATTTAAATGTAGTCATTAAAATATAACTCAAATTTATACAAAATTTAATTTTTAATTTAACTATAAATAGACTGGAGCAACAATTGTATATTTATTTACTGCAACGCTATCTACTAATGAAGTGTCGATCGGAATATGATTCCCACTCAAAACTATTGAAATTATTAAACACTTTAATTAATTTAAACAATTTAAAAGAAATGCAATTAATGTTCGGAAAGGATGAAGATTTTAAAGAATGCATCCCTTATTGTGGACCACTGACCAGGGAGATATATGGTTTTGAAGTATGAACATATTTGTGTAATATAACATTTAATTGTGTTTAAAAATTAATAAAATTTGTCTATATAAAATTATCATTGCTTACTACATTATTCTTACAATTATACCTTATTTTCAATAATTATCTATCTAATTTTAAGATAAATGAATAATTTTACAAATGATAATGGTTTAAAATTACTGAGTTTGTAAATCTATTAATATTTAACCCTAATTATTTGTGTTGAGTAAATTACTAGCCACTAAAATTGTACTTACTGATATTCATATTTAAATAATATTTTGTATTTTATCAGTATTATTTAGTTTATACTTTAGTAATTAAATTTTTGATAGTTTACAATAACGTGTAATAATGTATTAATGTATGAACCATATACTTTGGTCGTACTAGCTATTTTACCAAACTATTGAAAGTTTTCTAAACCAATCGCAATTCAATGTAAATAAAAGATAATTATATTGTTTGCAAACTTCCTTAAAATAATATTTAAGACACATAATTGCACCAGGCATGTCCTTCAAGCTTCAACCTACAGGATTTTAAAAAGTCAAATGAATTTTATTATGTATCATATTAAGTAATAATAAGCTTTACGCTAACAATAAATGATTGTGAGAATTGTAAAATTGAAAAACAAATAATTGAATTGCTACGGTATTAATAACTTGACATCATTAAAATTGGTGCTAATATTAAATATGACAACTCAAACACGTTATAAAGGAAATAAAATTTGCGACATTTGTGGCGATAAAATGCTTTGTAAGTTATATATACTTTTTAAACTAAATATTACATGGCTTATAAGTTACCAAAATTCAATCCAAATTGTTTACTACTTTGTTTGAATTGAATATTAGGCCGAAACTTTGCAGCAAATGCTTGCGAGTCGTGTAAATCATTTTTCCGACGAGTGGTTCGTTTCAATAAAGTAATGAAATCATAGAAACTATTATTATATGAAATTAATATTAATTACAATATCTAATAGCAATACGAGTGTCCGTCAAATGGCAAATGTGTGATCAATACAATGACCAGGACTATTTGCAAACAATGTAGATTTACTAAATGCTTAGCCATCGGAATGAAACCAGTAATTAGTTATAAAACTGATGTTTAAAATTCATGTTTAAAAGATTTTATTCATTTTTATTATAATGTATATTATCTGCAAAGGAATTAATACGAAGTACTGAAGAAAACCAAATGAGGCAACAATTGATTGAAGAAAATAAGGCTAAACGACGGGAGAAATATGAAAAAAGTATTGATTGTGTGGATCCGTTACCGGTATCTAAAAGGTTGACCACAGCTTTCCCTCGAAGTGAAGAGTTAAGCGGATTCTTGAATGACTTAATTGAAAATACAGTGAATATTAGTGATGAAGAGATCAATAACCAGATCATAGACATTGAGAGTAGTGTAATGTCTGAGACAAGTAGTGTCATTGAAGTTGCAGCTGCAGATCCTCAACAAGTGGTCGCACCGGTATTCCCAGTGCTCAGCAATTATCACTCGTGGAACCAATTGGAGTCAATCCGTATAACAGAACTGTTGAACGCCTCAAAACTTCTCGACTATCCGTTGAGTGAAAATGTACTCAAAGTCCATACGTTTAAAGACATGGTTCGCGAGTTTGAATACCGTATGGAAAACATTATTAAAGATATGATCGGTTTTACCAAACGTTTGAATGGATTCAAGAACTTCTGTTCCGACGATCGGTGGACTCTCATGAAGAATGGATGCATTGAAATGATTATATTGAGACTATCGCTGAGTTATAATGACGAGGGTCAGACTTTCTGGGTGAATGTGGTAAGCATATGAATTAAACGCCCATGATATTTATTGATTATTTTAATTTGTTAAAAAATGATTGCAAATAGGACAACCAAAAATCAATTGCATTCAATTTGGAAATGTTCAAATACCTACACTTACCGTATTATCAGCCATATAAGTTATTTTTAGAAAAGTTCCTACCTGATTACAAATATGATTCAACTATTTTCAATTTGGTATTTAATTTTAGATTGGGAATGTTAATAATTTTAGATCTTTGCACCACAATTATGTTGTAATTAAATATTATTTTAATATAGTTGACCGCAATAGTACTTTACAATCCTAATCATCCAAATCTCAAACATAAACAAAAAGTGAAGTATGTTTTTATAAAATAATTTTCATTTATGAAAAAATTAATTTTTAATTACCGGTATATTTATAATAGACTCGAGCAAAAACTATATATTTATTTACTGCAACGCTATCTACTACTGAAATGTCGATCGGAATATGACTCGCATTCAAAACTATTGAAACTATTGAACACTTTAATTGATTTAAACAATTTAAAAGAAATGCATTTGTGTTTTGGAAAGGATGAAGAATTTAAAGAGTGTATCCCTTATTTTGGACCACTGACCAGGGAACTATATGATGTTACAATATAGTATATATGTGTACGGTAATTTAATTATAATTAAAAACAAATAAAGTTATTAATATCTAAAACTTGCGCCTAATTTATTGACAACACAAAAACACATACTTTTATTTTATAGATAATGTATAAATTATATTGAAATAAATTAATAATTAACCAATTAAAATAATAAATTATGATATATACAGTATATTGAACAGTATTTATCAATAATAATTATTATTACTATTAGTGTGCAGTAAATTATTAACCACATCTACTAATAAAATATTGACATTATTATAGAGTCTATAATAGTATAGTTACTATACTGTACAGCAGAGACGTCCAAAATTTTTTAAATCGTCAAAATAGTGTTTTATAATATGAGCAAACTTATTAACTATTGAAAACACTAGTATTTTATGATTTACAAGTGACTATGAATTTCATTTTAAATAGTAATATGACTTAAACATATATTAAACATAAAATAATATTCAAATGATTAATATACCAGTAAGAGTTTTTTAAACATACATTAAAAATATTTGAGTAAATAAGTAATAGCCATAAATGATTAATAAACTAAT